CTGATGGAATGTTTGCTTTTCTCTCCTAATGTTGCCGTGCCCGACAGGGTCCATAATTGTTTCTTTCTATATTTATAAGACCTGTGTATACATTATGGAGCGCAATAAACGAATTGAATTGAATGCCGGAGGCATTTTCTCCCAGTCAACCTTAGGGCGATGCAGAGCTAAAACATGGTAGATACACAAAAATATAGCATATATAGGATATCATATACCCAGAGTACTTACTGTATTTCCAACTCTTCCAATTTTCTTCTGATTAATTTCGTTGCGGGTTCCAAGACAGTTTAATTTCTTCCTGGGGACTTTCCGAGTGTCATAACTCGGTGTGTTCGTTGGTCACTGCTGTGGATCCTGGTGTACAGGAGTTACAGTGGTGGGCGTGTGGGTGGGATTAGTCCCATTACATATAGATAAATACACATACATACACACATACATAAATATTATATATATATAATATACATATACATACATATACACAACATATATATGTATACTTATTATTAGTCCCAATACCCAGAGTACTTATACTAATAACATTAGAATATTTTTTAATAAATAATACATATACAATAAGTGATAATAATACTAACACACACAATACGTCCGTGTGGTGACGGATTAAGAATACGGAGTGCCACCACCCCTATTCATCCCGTGGGTGTCGTAAGAGCCGACTAAGGGAACTAACGTAGGACAACCAGCATGGCAAAGAGAAGGAAAACTTGACACAAACTCTATACCAACCCGTCTGGCCAGCGCGGTATAGTAGGCCAAAACCTCCTTTCTAAGGAGAGGTCTATGTCCAGCAGTGGACTATTAAAGGCTCTTGATGTGATGTGATGTGTGACACAATACATAAGTATATATTTATATATATATACATATGCACCTATACATACATATAATTACTAGCTGACCCGGCAAACGTTGTATTGCAAAACAAAAAAAAAATAGGGATGGGTCACCCATACCATTTAGCGGTATGAAAAATAGATGTTGGCCGATTCTCAGACCTACCCGATGTGCACACAAAATTTCATGAGAACCGGTCAAGCCGTTTCGGAGGAGTACGGGAACAAACATTGTGACACGAGAATTTTATATATAAGATATTTACACATAGTTAAATAATCCTAGCCATGTCAGTATATGGATGGGTGACCATTTTTAACACATCGAGAACCCTCTGTACCTTGGAGATCACGTCAGCCGTCGGTCCTGGTTGCCATATGAACATCTGTAGCAATCTGTACGGATAGTTGGAGCCCTAAAAACTACAAGAATAATCTATCTGCAGAACTTCGATATCGCCTAGTGCTTGGGTTGTGAAGGTCTGATGGCAGACGCTCCACGTAAAGAAACCTAAGTTCAGCCGTATCGTAGTATACTGAAAGCCGACCCCAACCTTGTTTTGGGTAAAAGGCTCGGAGGAAGAGGAGATCGATACTCCCCTCTTAATAGATAGTGATAAGAGGGCAGGGTTATTTTTATCTTATATTGGATAAACAAAGAGTACCTGATAGTACCTAAGTAACTATTGAAACCCATGGAGTCCTAAATCTTAAGATAACAAGACACGGAACAAATGATCGTACTCATTTATTTACACACAATTATTTGTCCTGGTCGGGAATCGAACTCACGACCTCTGGCTCAGCAGTCCGGGTCAGTAACCACTAAACAAACATGTCCGTCTATATAATAAAATCTATATAAACATCAAAAACGCCTAAACAGACCAAAATTCACTTCCTTTTTTTAACTTTTTTATTCAATCGCAATTCGCACTGTCGATGTAATTGACAATACGCGCGACGGACACGCCAATGATCCATAGATCTCCGATCTATAGATCAATTCACTTTCGGCGCAAGCGACAATCACTGCCAAGGTTACTAGCCGATGTGGTTTTTTAACAAAACATTATGTAATGGTTATTTTTAAATCGTGGCGACAATTGGAATGGATCTTTATTCTGTAATTGGACTGTTTGTATACGATAGTAAATACTGACTGGCCTTTGGGTCTAATGGTTAGCGATACTGTCCGCTAAGCCATAGATCGTGGGTTCGATTCTCGTCCAGGACAAATATGATTGAGTGATGAGCACGATCATTAGTTCTGATGATGATTACCGATGGTAAGTGACGTTTCAAAATGGCCTCCAATATGGCGGCTTGATCATTGTTAACATGCGGTTGCTTTTTTAAATTCATGTCTTCGTGTCGTAACAGACAGACAGACACACTTTTGCATTTTATAATATTAGTATAGATATTTAATTTTCATAAAAAAATGAATATATTCAAGCCAAATTCCGCAAAAGGTATTAATAAATAAATGTTTAGGTACAATTATTATTTCAAAAACGTTGAACAAAAAATCTCCGATACCTACCTGACATAATCACCGATGCCGTGACGAATAAAAAAAAAAACAACCACATGTTTTTAATTATCCCGCCGCCATATTGGAGGCCATTCTGAAACGTTCACGGTTGGCCAATCAGAGAGCTTCATGTAAGTTAAGCGCTGTTACTCTGATTATTGTTTTATATTAATTTATTTCTGCCCCGGATCTAGGGGGGGGGAGTTTCAGGGGCGCCAAAATCATAACATAGTATGATTAAAAAATGAACTATTTATGAGATTTTTTTAGGCAATTTTCTAGTTTCTGGCCCGTTTTGAAAGAATCGTAGATCCGGGGCTGATTTATGTTATACACAAAAGTTGGCAAAAAAGAATCATCATGTTCATCAACCACCTTTTTTAGCCCACTGCTGCACATATGCCTCTCCTTACAAAGACGGTTTTGGCCTACTATACCACGACTTTCACTGGCAGATAGCTGATGACATAAGGATTATTAAGGATGACTTAGGCTACTTTTTTTAGACCAGCTTCACCCCGCGGCGTTAACACCACGGGTCTCAGCTAGTCAGTAATAAACCAATAACTCTCTAAGTTAGAAAATTATTAACCAAATTCGACTACAAACAACTAAAAGAATGGAAAAAAAAAAGGATTGTTAAATTACTAGAATATCACAAAACGGAAGTTTTGAATGTCACTTTGTTTGATGGCCGATAACTGCCGACTTTAACACTGTAACGGTTCAATACCGTAAATAACTTCAAAAGGCTTCAATTCCCATGCGGTTACAAACGTTGCAAATACATAAAAATCTTTTATTTTAAGAGAAATGTTCAAAAAAAAAATTTATGGTTTTGCCGGTGGCGGCAAACAAAAAAACCTTTTGAGCGCCGGTGATAATCTGTTTAACTAACAAATGGTCTTTTCGACCGATAATTATGCACGGTAGCCGAAGGGTTAAGCCATAAATCATAATTGGCTGATGGTTGGCGAGAGAATCGGTGGATTTTGTGGCTTTGTTTACAAGTGCTTTGTAATATTTTTAGTTCAACTACATGCAGTTAAATAACAGAACTTAAGTGAATTTTAGCAAACGGCTGGTAATAAAAATGTAGGAATAAAAAGAAATGGCACTGTTCAGCCCGTTACTTTGTACCCTTGTGTAGTTGTAGTATAGTCCATCAACGTCGTGCGCGACCGTCCTGCGGGGTGACAGACGGTGGCGGGGACGAAGTACTCAAGATGTCAGCGGGTAGCGGGTGGTGTAGCGGGGAAGGGAAACGCTTCTCTTCGTGTGTAGCCGTGTGCTAGAATGACGCGCTACCTCGCCCCCGCCACTGTCTGTCACCCCGCGGGACGGTCGCGCACGAGATTGCCGGGTTATAGTACTGTTGCTGTTGCTGAGTACGCACAAATATAGCCATACGTATTTGGTTTATTAAAGTAATAAACGTTAATAGATTAGCGTTCCTTGATAGTGATTTGCATAACATTTGATATATTACTAATTTATAACAATAAGCCACGCGCCATCAAAGGTAGGTTCCAGCGTGCTTAAGAAATTATCTATCTGTAAAAGTAAAAACTTATGTACGATATCAAGATCGTGCTGGCATATATTTTGAAGAGGTTTCTGTCGTTTTAATCCTAACCTCGAAGCTTGCTGCCTGTACCCGATATCGATGAGACACTACTACTTATTCCAATACACAGCTGTCTGATCCCAAACGAGACACTCACTTCACTCAATCGGTGAATAGCTACGAAGCATTCCTTACTTTTTGAGTGTCCCGGTCGTGGTGTCACTCCGGTCGAGGCGGCCATTTGTTTAAAGGCATAGCTCTTCCACGGTTATTACTTTTAACAATCAGATATTAATTTAATTAGTTATTCCTTTAATCATGCTAATTTATAAATACCCATTCGTGTTCTAAACTATATTCTTTTAAAACAACTTTACAATACTCTCTGGCGTACATTCTAACACATTCATCGAAACAAATGATTGTAACCACAGATTTTTTTTACCAGCAATATATTTTTGACATGTTCAAAAGGAAGTAACGGTCCCCCAGTAGCTTACCACACCACACAATAAAGGTTTAAAGTAATCTTTCTATTGTCGTGGTCTTTAATACCCCGAAGTCAGTGGCGACATTATTTTTTTGTGATGTAGCAGCGAGTGGGTTATTTTGGCTTTTCGAGACGTTAAGCCGATTATATATTTTTTCTATATAATTGGTTTAATTAATATTTAGGCTACTGGTTTATTTTAAGTCTATTTTAAATTAAACGTGATATTATAATAAAAATTAGACTGCGTGGCAGTCGACTTTAAAGTCTTGTTTTTTATTGACCAGTATAACTTGAACTTTCGTTGTTGAGACTTACTTGTAATGACAGGTCAACATATACTGGACACCTATAGTTTTATTTTTTACACTCAGACACGGAACAAATGATCGTGCTCATCACAAGAACCCACTACCTCCGGCTTACCACTAAATTAACCACTAAGCTAACAGGCCCGTCAATTTAAATCCACTTATCCATAACTATGACATTAGAGTTATCTGTTAAGTCAAGTCTTCTCGTTCTCAAGAGTTATCTCTATTCCAGGCGAGTACGTGATCCAGGGAGACCTACCGAGGGAGTTAGTGAGCAGTGAGGAAACGAGATTTGACCTGCTTGAAGAAGCACTCCAGCTTGTTGAGCTCGGAGACGAGGCGGAGACGAAGGATGAACCGCCTGAGGTAAGAGACAAAACCCCCTTTGAAAAAAAGTTGAACCGACTTCAAACAATACTAACAAAGAGCACTAAAAGCCTAGCAGCAATCGCGGTTCATTTGCCGTCATTTTTTGAAGAGTTCCGTTGTCTGTCTCCGAAACTCATCATCAGATCAATATGATATTTAAATGGGACCACCTCCTTTACAACAAAAAAAGATTTTTGAACTAATCTAATCACTAACCACTAAACCAACACCACCATCACCACCACCACCACCAACCAATGTCCGTCTATATAATACTCGTAATCTATATAAACATCAAAAACGCCTAAACAGACCAAAAACCACTTCCTTTTTTGAAGCTTTTTTATTCAATCACAATTCGCACTGTCGATTTTTGAAAAGCCATCAATAAATGACGGAGTTATGCCCGAACATATATAAAAAAATATATAAACATCCGAATTGATAACCTCCTCCTTTTTGAAGTCGGTTAAAAAAGGCTTCACTGTCTTTCACCTTCTTGTGTATATGGACTTAACAATAAGGTAGGAGGAAGAACAAGAGGAAGAATTTACCTCCTCCCCGGTCATATGGTATATGCTTCGAAATATTAAGATTATTTGTACCACCTTTGTCTTGAAGCCACCTTATGCCCTTTTCTGTACTTCTGAAAATCTACAAGCTACATCACCGTACCGTCCCGCCCGATGTCTGTCCCAACCTTAACTCGTGTGTTAATTACAGGCGATAGAGGGCAGCAGCAGCGGCGAGATGCTTCACCCGGCGATGCGGCATGTGCCGCATCACCCCCTGGCCCACTACCACAACCAGGTCAGTTCTATCATATAAGTACCACTATTTGTTATACCCTAACACGAAAAGTTATCTTTTTTTTGTTAACGGAGTGGAAAATCCCTTCGGATGTCCGGCACCTTGAGGATATAGGAGCTAGGATTATGTGCCAGCCTTAGTATAAGCCAGCCTTAGGCGCCCTGCTCTGGGGAGAACACGGGCCATGTGATTTAAGGTCCCCCCAGATCAACGCCGCACCAAACTAGGCCCCATCTCAGGGAAAGCCAGTGGCTTCTCCTTGCCTATCAGCCTGCCTATTAACTTCTAAATAGAACGCGAAAAATATGAGAGCGAGCGGGCGTGTCGTGAGTGCGACACGCACAACGCACCCTCAACGTTCTCACACTCGTATTCCCGCGAGACCACGATCGTGTCACGTCGTACTGCAAACAGACGAGCACGAAAAATTACCTAATGACACCATACGCGTTTTTACGATAAAAATAGTTGTTAATTTTGAACTTACAGAACATTATTTTCAACTTTTTAGTTTGACTAGTTAGAAAAGCGTGTTTTTCTTTTGGTTTTATTAAAATTTTGCCTTTTTTTTAGTCATTAATGATGTTTATTTTATTATTAAAAACTAAAAAAGTAATAAGTAAGGAAGTTACATAGGGTCCAACACATGCCTTAGTACGTGCCAAAAGACGCTACCGTATTTTTAGAAATGGAAAAAGCTGTTACTCCTGAAGGTCCTGATCAGGATAATCGGACAAATATATCAAATTATTGTATTGTCATCGGTCCTTGATAAGTGTGCGAAGTTTCAATTCAATCAGACGTTTTGAAGTGGGTGAACATCACAATCATCACTTGGGTGTCGTAAGAGCCGACTAAGGGAGCAAACCACGCAGGACAATAGCACTGCAAAGAGAAGGAAAACTTGACACAAACTCTATACCAACCCGTCTGGCCAGCGTGGTATAGTAGACCAAAACCTCCTTTCTAGGGAGAGGTTTATGTCCAGCTGTGGACAAATTAAGTCTGATGATGATGATGATACATATTTACACCCAGACACAGAACTAATGATGACATCAATAGCCTTTAGTAGTCCACTGCTGGATATAGCCTTTTTTAGAAATGGGACGGCTTGGTATAGGGTTTGTTTCAAGTTTTCCTTCTCTCTGCAGTGCTGTTGTCCTGCGTAGTTTACTCCCTTAGTCAGCTCTTACAACACTCACGGGATGAATAGGGGTGGTGATACTCCGAAATCTTAATCCCTCACCACACTTATTCAACAAATGATCATCACAATTATTTCTCCCAGATGTCAATCGAACCCACGACCTCTGCCTTAGCAGTCATAATCGCTAAATACTACACCAATATAACCAATTATACAGTTTTTTTAAGCATCAAACGAAAAGTGAAAAATCAAAAAGACTAACAGATATTAAAAAAAAAGACAGCAAAAATGTTGTATGTGTCGGGAATCAAACGCGGGCTTGTTTTGAACGCTAATGATAAATGAACATGTGTCACCGGATCATTGTACCACACACGTTGTACTGGTTTACTTGTGGTACAAGTTATAAACTTATAGCCACTGCTGGAGTATCACCTACGATTATGATCACCGCTCTACTTCTAGCGTGATGATTCATCATCAACAGCCTATAATAGTCCACTGCTGGACATAGGCCTCTCCTTAGAAAGGAGGTTTTGGCCTCCTATACCACGCTGGCCAGACGGGTTGGTATAGGGTTTGTTTCAAGTTTTCCTTCTTTTCGCAGGGCTGTTGTTCTGCGTAGTTTGCTCCCTTTGTCGGCACTTACGACACCCACGGGATGAATAGGGGTGGTGACATTGCGTATTCTTAATCCGTGTGGTGACGGATGCGTGATGATTAATAGGCCTAAATATTCTGTAGACACTCTAATAGATAAAGAATAATTAAAATCGGACTGATATTTCGGGGATTTTATAATATAGACATGTAGCAGTGATTTTTTTTAGAACTTTTAAACTTTAATAGTTTGAAGCTCACAAAAGAAAAAATTACCTATTTTGTAACATTTTTCGTTGTTCCCCTCCTTCTTTTGGTCGTAGGTTGATTGTATATAGTCCATAACCTCCCCCGATAAATTTGCTACATAACACTAAGAGAATTTTTTAAATCTTACCTATAATAACTGAGATTAGTGCGTTCAATCAAACTAACAAACTCTTCAGATTTTAAATTTGTATTAATATCATAGTAGGTTTAAGTACTCTAAAAAGTGCACATTTTACAACGGTATACAGAAAAAACAGAATCACATAGTTCTTATTGTATAAAACTATCAAATAATAAGTCTCATTCTCTCATAACTTGCACCGCACGCAATTCAAAGACAACCTAGACGCTGCCAGTTCAAACTACCATCAATCATAGAATGACAAAAAATCATTAAACCATAGACAAATTGTCGGACAATTTGTATTTAATTGTCTATAGCTACTGTCCGTTGTTTTGTATACAAAGGCATTAGACGGAGACAAAAAATAACATTTTCATGTGGATTTTGAATCATTTAACGTCGATATAAATTACTGAATGATCCGCGCACGTCGTCAGCGTATCTGAAAAGGAAAAAAATCCCCGTTTTTGTAACATTTTTCATTGATGCTCGTCTCCTATTGGGGGTAGCGTGATGTTATATAGCTTATCGCCTTCCTTGGTAAATTGACTACATAACGCTAAAAGATTTTTTCAATTCGACCCAGTAGTTCCTGAGATTAGCGCGTACAACCAAACAAACCAACTCTTGAGCCTTAATTCGACCTAAACAACCTGTGACCTGGGCCTCAATTATGCTATTTTATGTTAACGGCATGCCACTGTCATTCCATTGACACGCTATTGAGATGCCATTGACATCGGTCAAAATATCGGTATTCTACTAACATAAATTCACAGTGTCAATAGACTGTCGATATAGTAATATAGGTCATCAATGTTGATATCAACAAAATTGCCATACCTGAAAAATTTAATATATTTCATTTTCTAACACATTTAAAATGTACCATTTATCAAACTATTACAAAGACATCGACGACATTTGTATCAGTGACAAGTCATCGAAAGGCCATTGGTCTTAAATAGTTAGTAGAATACGGGTTATCGTCTGCGGTATTTCCGGACCGATACGACCTCCAAACCTTCAAGAAAAGAGCGTACTCCTTCCTAAAAGGCCGGCAACGCGTTTGTGACTCCTGAGTTGCAGACGTTCATGGGTAGCGATGGTCACTTTCCATCAGGTGACCCGTCTGCTCGTCTGCCCATAACATAACATTAAAAAAAATAGGAAAAGTACAAAACTATTCCGACGGCATTCCATCGACAGTCTATTGATGCAATATTAAAATAGCAAAATTGATGCCCTGTTTGCTCTTTTGTCTTCAATATCATTTATTTATTTATTTATTTATTATAGACACGCCAACATACATATACAACATTGTTCAAACTGCAGTTTAATATAAGGATAGTTCTTATATGTAGACCAATTACAGGCATGCACAGTATACATCGTTAGGTTGACACACATTCAAGTAGTAACAAAATTAAGACCAAAGTGAACGAGACTAACAGAAATATAGTACTTAGAAACTAAACACAGATAAGTCCAAACAATGAAAGTGGCAGTCATGCAAACGATTTCAGTATCATATCCTTAAAGTGTATAAGGGAATTGTGGAAAATATCCAGTTGGTCAATTTTACCATTCAGCATATTGTAATCGCGACATGCACGCATCAAACGCATAAAATAACTCTAATTCAAAGCATTTTGACAGACACTTTTCTCACACAGAGACAATTCTCCATACGCCTGCGCTCCATATTTTTTTAACTCCAATGAACGCAAAGGTATACAATGTCCCGGAGCCAAAGTCACGACCCGCAGTCATGCTTAACGATGATAGTAAAATAATCGATAGTTATCTGTAACGATTGGTTTTCGGTATCGATTGCCGACATACAGGGTCATCACTAGCGAACTTAGATTTTTTTTTAAAATTTCTGACATGTTTTTTTTAAATATTCGGTCATGATTAATAAAAATTAGATTATAGAATAATACGTCAAAAGAATTCTTTGTATCTTTTGCTAATTTCGCAAACGGCAGAATGTAAAATTTTAAATATAGGCATAAAGTTGATAACGGAGAAAAAATGTACAAAGTTAAAAAAAAAACAATAGGTATGTGTTATAAATTTAAAAGAACATGTTGACCCGTCATGGTACCGAAAGTCTATATAATGACAGCTCAAGTTACACTAGTCGTAAACAGTTACAGTTGAAACCAATTCGCCTCATTGTTTAACAGCATACCAGTTAATTTGACTGCACGGATGACGTAGTGGTTTAAGCGGTCGCTACTACGTCGAGTGTTGTGGGTTCAAACCCCACATGGGACGACACTTTGTGTGATCCACAAATTGTCATTCTGAGTCTGGGTGTTCTTTGTGTCCGTTTCATGTATGTTTGCAAAATCCCCCGCGACACAGGATATATTCCTAATGCGGGTGTTGTCTTTAAAAAATAAAAATGTAACTAATTCTAATACCATAACTGAGCTTTGTTCTATTTTGCTACCTTTACCGACTTTTTTCCAATTTTCGACTACAATATTGACAGAAGTGACAGTTTTTTTTTTAAATAATTTTACTTTGCTTACTTAGGCGTCACTCAACATTGTGTGCTCAAGTTAAGCTCAGGAATTTTAAATATATGTAAATATTAATTATTATGTATGATCACGAATACAGTAGCCGAGTTTTTCGATATTTTTGTAATTTTCAAATAGTGTTGGTAATTTATCGATACTTTTTACGATAAAATGATAATAACTGGACACGGCTGACATCTCGGCCGTCTGATTCTAAAATAGACTAAGTCTGTAAAGACATTGCTAATAAGTATATTTCAAAAAACATCGGACATAACGCCATCTAGTTTCAAACTAAGCAGATCTTGTACTATGAAAG